TACATTCAAATTCAATTGTAAATGCATTTTATCTGTTGGTTTTGCCTCTGCTGCTGATGCTGCTGCTGCTGCTGCTGCTGCTGCTGCTGGGGCTGTAAACTGCAATCATGTTGCACATTTTTCTCTGGCAGGCCGAGGTCCGAGCTCGAGTCCCCAGCCTAGAGACGCTGGCCTTTTACAATCAAATGTAATTATTTTTGCAATATACACCTTCAGCTGCTGCTGCTGCAGCAGCAACAAGTTGCTTAGCATACTTCCGTTTGAGCCACAAAAGGCCGCGCCCGAGAACCTGGAGCCTGCAACCTGGAATCGTCTCTGAACTTGGCTATATAAGCTCGGGCCAAGGGGGACCGAAATCGCGTGATCAAAGTCAATTTAGCTGCGATATACAGACACATTTGTTTTGCTGTTGCTGCTGTTGCTGGTGCTGCAGCAACTTCTGTTGCACGTAGGCTGGCCCAACGATCCTGTCGTCATCTGCTGCTGCTGCCGCTGGTGCAGCTAAATTAAACCATTGCCGCCTTATCGTTGCCGACTAACTGAGGCGCCTAAAAGGGCCACAAAAATTGGGAAGGGGCAGCAGTGGAAATAAAAATAAACTCAAAACAGGTTTAGACACGAATTTAAAGCAGCATGGTCACACTCTAAAGTGTTGAACTTTCTTAAATATTCGTAGATCTAAAAGTAAATCCTGATCCTAATTGGGGCAAACTTTAAATGGGTCACAAGACTTAAAACTGGGTGTGCTTAAGAAAAAAGAAACTACACCGACTGGTCAGACCATAAAATGGCAATAAACTGTGATTGGCCACACTATTTAAGTTTTTACTACTTCCTTAGTATTTATAGCTCTGGTACTGTCTATAGTACTGCCAAAATTCAAGAACAAGTTTCCGTAATTGATTAACCACAGCCTGGTCACACTCCTTAATGCGGCACTTCCTCTTGCTGTTTTCTATTCTTGACTTTGGCGAATGTTTATCATAATTAGGCACACGATTTGCTGCTTAATCGCTGCATTAACATAAATAGCAGAAAACAGCTGAAAACGAAATGAAACTTAGGAACAAAAAATGTAAAAAAAAAAAACAATCGCCACAAGCGAAAAGTCTTCGGAGCTGAAAAAAATGGTTTCTTTGACCAAACTAAAGATCCCTGGCTCATTTCATGCTAATTATATATGGCCGGGCCAAAATGAATGGCTGGAACGCCCGCCATTTTAGCCTAGACCAGAGAAGCGCGCTTCGACTTCATTTGGAGTCGGAAATTATTTAATTTTAACCTCTGGGGGCCAGCAATCATCATTAAGCACGAGCTTCGAATGCCGCGTATTTGTTTTTTTTTCTCTCTCTCTTATTTTTTTTTTCTCAACGTAGGTTTTTTTTTTTTTTGGGCAAAAGGTTTTGGGTCAGCGCCAAGGGGGCAAACCTCGGAGTCCGCCCACTCCACCTTCTCCATATCCGTTCGGGGCCCTCTACAGTTCGTTTATCAGTCAAAAGCGATCTTTGCAATTAGCCTTAAACGCTTTTTGGCTCAACACGAAGCTCGCCGAAGAATACCCTCAACTGGGTCACAGGTCCAGCCTGTCTCATCCTCCGTCCGTCACATTATCAGAACGAAATTATCGTATATCAACCTTCGGCCGTCGAGAATTGCAGCGCCTGCATATTTATTTTTAATCATCTTTGTGAAAGCAGGTGAAATTTTTGGCATTTATGAAAGTGCAGCAGCGTGACTCGGTTCAGTTTGGTTTCGTATAAAAATTAATATAGATTGCAAGTGGGGATACGCAGAGGCAGCAGCAACAAGTTGAAAGTTTCTTAACGTTTTGCGGCACATTTTGTGCTTTTCCCGTTTCTTTTTCGCTTTGTGTAAAATTTATTATGCCAAAGGCCGATCATTATCGGGTAGCCAAATTATATATGCGCGCGCGCACATGATGCGCATTAAGGGTTCCCAATTCCCAGTTCCCCAGCAGTTCCCACATCGATCTGCCTTGGATCTGGTCGATCTCCTCCTCGATCCTCGCAAGGGCGATCGCTTTTTGCTGGTGTTTTCATTCTTGGACAGGTTAAAACCGCAGGCTCACGCGGGGCCAAAAACTATAAAATGTCGCAGACTATAAATCCACTTGGAGCAATAAATTTCTCAAAATGTCAGCGCAGGCTCCCGCATTAATTACAGACTCCGTTCCGATGTAGCTGCTCCTGCTCCCGCTGCTGCTGCAAGTATTGGGGCACGGCAGCAACACCCGCATCTGTGGGTCTGCTGCTGCTGCTCTGGTAATGTGAGCCTTTCCATGGCATGTAATCAATAGTTGTAACCACCAAAAGTGCACCACCACCAGCCACAGCACAGCACCACCAACTGCACCACCAATATCTCTCTTTCTCTCTCTCTGAGTGCAGTTCTGTGACCGCAAAGGCAAGTGCAAAGCATTCAATTTTTGCCCCGTTGACTGCAACAAGTTCTTTCAATTTGCGTTGCCAGGTGGAGTCGAACAACAACAACAACTAAAATAATAATAAAAACACAACAACCAGCAACAGCAACAACAACAAGAACAACAACCATACACAATTGCAAAGTTGCGCGTGTTTTGGCTCGCATTTTGATTGCCTACAAGCCGTTGCTGTCACTTTGCATTATACGAGTCCAAGAGTCCAGAAAGGGGTTTTCAAGAGAGGGATTAAAAGAGGTTTTCGTTCAGGGGGTTTTAGGGGGTTTCAGGAGAGGGGTGTTTGAGGGTCGGAAGGCCTTTCGATAAGCGTCAGGTACTCAAAAATAAGCAAAAGAACGAACGAGAAACGTAGAAAATTTAAATAATTTGCTTAGATTGATATTGAAAGGAAAGTGGAGTGAAGAGGGTTAGGCCAGTTGATCTATTAAGTATACGAATCTAAAGTTTTAGGAATTTTTAAGAACTTTAAATATATATATTTCATGTATTAACAAGAAGAACTTTCATACTCTTTATCATATTAAAACTAAAACCCAAAAACCTTTTCGTTTGGCTTTCTTCGAAATCTTTCCTTTACAAAGTCCAGGCTTTTGACTTCCCATTTAAAATAATCTTTGTTGTCATAGAAAATCTGAAACTAAACTGTGACTAGAGATGACCTTAAGCTTCCTTGACTATTTTTCTATACAGCCCGCTCGACGGGGAGCCCTTGAAAGTCATTAATTTCCAATGTCCGATCACAGTTTCTTGGGGCTTTGATTTTCTTACCCGGGTAACCTGGCGCGATTAAAGCGCAATTATGCTGTGTTTGATATGTTAATTTCTCTTCAAAATCGCTTGAAAGAACACACACACACACACAATTATGTTGGCTAATTTATGCAGCTCGTGGTGTGGAGATTGGTGGATTGATCGATGGTGGAACTCATCACCGGCAGGTGTTAATTGATTTCATTCGCTTGTAATTTGACTCGTTTGTTTATGGGCCCCGTGTATTTACCGTTTGCGTACCGTTTTATCGAAAAACAACAACCGCACTGAATCCGTATCTCTCTCAGCTCAATTATGAAGATATTGTGACGATGATGGCTGACAAATTTCGGTCGCACAAATAAGACCAAAAATGAGACTCCGGCCGTTGTTCAATGGGCGGTTGAATGAATGGAACTGCGCCTCCGCTGCGTGCTGCTGCGGCTTTTCTCTCAGCTTTTTGTTAATTAAGCTGTATTTCATGCAGCTGACGGATTTATGAATAAAGCGCCACCACCGACGACGAGACATAAAAATCCAAAACCAAAAACGTTCCAAAAAAATTCAAGAAAAGCTAGCAAAAAATGTCCAACGAAATGACAAAAAAAATATGAATGTGATGACACCCGAAAAAAAGGGGGGAGAAAAAATCCAGCTAAACGTGGGGCGTGTCAAAAGAAATCTCTGGCTATTCGATGGATTACTTTTGGCCAGCTTTGAAAGATTGGCACATTGGAGCATTCGGACATGTGGAACGCTTTTCTGGCCTTAATCGCCACTGGCCAGGCCAAATCGCAAAGGTCGCGTCTGCTGCCGGCCAATTGAGCTGTTGCTGCCCGCTTGTCGTTGACGTCATGTTAATTTTGTTTTATTTTTTAGTCTGTTTGTGTTGCCAACAAATGCCGATTTTTATGGTCAGGTTGCCAGCTTTTGGAGGCAGCATCGAATTCAGCAAGCAGCAGCCGCAGCAGCTTCAGGGGGCAGCCTCGCCAGCCCGCAACTCGCCGCTTGCGACTTGCGACTGTCGCGAGCAATTAATCTTCAAAAGTGGCCAGGTCCAGCTGCACTGCCTCGAATCGTTTTGATTTTTTGTTATTTTGTTTTTTGTCCAACTCGTACGAGACGAAACTTGGCAATCTGTCTAGAGTGCTCAGCTTCACTCGCTTTCAATGGCAACCGGCGACTCCTTTGGCGGGGAAGGTCGCTAAGACGACGCCCCCACCACGCACCAGTGGTGCACCTGCAGAGCGATACCTGAAACCGTTCACAAAGGAGGCGATGGTTTACAGAAGAGGGTTCCAGGTTTGGGTTTTATGATCCTAAAAGTAACTATCTTAGAGTTCCTTTACATATTCAGTTTATCATATAAAATATTAAGTTTAATTTTAGTTACTTTTTCAAAATGATTTTTAAGACAAAATTTTGTATTTTAGATTTAAAAATCTTTCTTTCTTAACTATCGAATCCGATGACCATCTCTGATTTCGCCAAAAGCTCTCCGTCAAGAGACGTTTCTGACTTGTGGCAAAGTTGGACAGCCCCAGAGCCGTACATGATCGATCCGAAGGGGATCCAGCCCCCTCCCACACCACACCACCCCTCCCCTGGACTCTACAAGCCACACGCATTAAATTCAAAATGCGTTTCAGCTTTTTTGTGAAGGTTGCCCCTGGCCAGGTGGAGTTGCGATCGCAAAATAAAGCAGCCAGGCCAGGGTTGTCATTCAGAGCCAAAAAAATAAAAACGAAAAAAATTAAAACTGCAGCTGGTGGTGCAGTGAGAAACTTACCTCTTTGATTTAGCTGGTGGCCGAGTCGCAATCTCTAGAGATCTGGCATAGTCTGGAAAAAAGAAGAAGAGAAATGCGGTTGGGAGATTATTAGATTTTTTGGCGATGATGTTGCTGCGGCTGCTGCTGTTGCTGCTGCATGTAGATAGGCTATGACAAATTGTGGCAGCTAGTTGGCGAAGCGGCTGATTTTTCAGCTGCTAATTGCTGGGGTAATTAAAGCAGAACACCGAGCCGAGCGCGGTGATCATTAATCAAGCTGGAAATAGTTGGCAGGTTGGACAAAACTCTCGGCCCCCGAGAGAGCTCATAAATATTTAATGGTGTCTAGGCAAATAGCGATCGGTTTTTGGTTCTCAGACTGCTTGGCGGTTTTTAATGAAAATTTTAGCCAAATTTGTAGTGGGGCTTCCCCACCCCATCAAGCCCCCGAACAGACATTGATTGATTGAAGTGTTTTAATATTACTTACAAAATTAGACCCACCGAAAAAGAGCGGTTGCCACCCACAAAAAGCTGGGCAAATTAAAGGGGCGTTACCTGGCCACCGAAAGAGAGATATCAAAAAAGTTAAGGTAAAAGCCGCCAACTGATTGGCAATCGAAGGCAAAAGCCACGGCAGCTGATTGATGGGGGGAAGCGTTTAGAATTGCCTTCAATAAATTATAAATATTTTTTTTTTATTTTTGCTCATTAATACAGTAGCCCCGCTTACGTTAAACAAAAAAAGCAAATAAATGTCAGCCTGCAATAGCTGGCTACTGCCTTTTTTGGACCTGACAATTGCGGCTATTACTGGCTAATTATCTTGGCAATTTAAGCCATTTATAACGAGGATTGTCAACATGATTTGCATCGGAGTGCGGGTGCTTTGTTTCGGTGGCTAATTGGCATGTTGCTAGCATCGATTGCCACCTGTTGCAATTATGGAGGCAACATGCTGGCATGCTGTGGTTGCATGTGCCACATATGACCAGCAATGTGACCAGTTTCTAACTTCTCACAACAGCAGCTGTGCGACCTTAACAAAAATGCGACTCAAAATCGAAAATCTGAAAACTAAAAATAAGAAAGAAAAACCAAATCTTGTTGCCTTAATACCCAGTGAGTATCTGTATCTGTGCCACAGCTGGCTGGCGCAACTGGAACCGCGCTGGCTGATAAACTCTGGCTCCGCCTTATCGCAGCACCCCCACAACAACAGCCAGAAGCCGCTCTTATCTCACGAACCTTGGCCTCTTCAATCTTAAATCTGAATCTTTGTGCGTGAACTGGACCAAAAGGCACTCCAAACTATTCGACAACGCCTACTCAAGCCTCCAGCTCCAAAGAGTGGAAACCTCAGATAAACATCGTTTTGTGTGCGTTATTGAAATTCGAATTTCAAATGAGCCACGCAACAGGGAAAATCTATTTCACTGCTGTGGGAATTTTATTTATATTTTTTCCATAGCTTTTTGGGTTATGGCATGCCCCAATACATATTATATATACATACTAGCTGCCTAGCATATCGGAAAACCGTTTGACTTTTGCAGTTAAACTTTCAAATGCAATTAGTTGGGGGCATAAATTACATAGAACCTCGGACTGACCACCGAAAGAGCTGCTATTAAAATGATTGTGGCGAGGGTGACCACCTACTACAATCAACGAGGCGTGCATGCAACGTAGAAATTGCTGCCTGGCAGCAACATCAGTAGCAGCAACAGCAACAGCACAGCAGCAACAGCAACAGCAACAGCAGCGGCACAAAATTAGCAGCGCGTGCTAAACAATTGCCCCAAGCAACAGTAGCTGCCACACAATGCACTTACACACTCACACACACACCCACTTCTAACACACACACATATACACAGCGAGTTTGCATATTGTTTTACCAGCAATATGGCGGCAGCACAGCAGCAATATCGCCGCCACGGCAGCAACTAGCAATGGTAATTGCAACAATTTAACGGTCTGTCGCTTGGCTCTGCGCTTAAGTGTACTTTGGTTGCAAAGTGTCTCTGGCGAATCTCCCGCTCTTTTTCATTTCTTCTTCTCTCTTTTTTTCGGCAGCCTACAACTTAATCAAAAACTAATTGCATTTGCATAGAGATAGAGGGATTGCTGCTGCTGCTGATGTTGCTTCTTGCGTAGGCCTCGCCACGGATGTGGTTTTCAACGCTTGGCTGTGTCAACTTTCAATCAAAGTCAACAAAAAAAGTAAGTAAAAAGACAACCCACTGTGGTTTACTTTAACCAAGCCCAAGTCAGCTTCCTGGCAGCAGAAGAAAACCGCAACAAGCGGCAACAACTTCTGGCTAGCGGGTGCTCTTGGCCATCTCAGGTGGTCAAGTTCTGCTCTCCGCTCAACCGTGGGAGCCTGGCCATAAAGAGTAAATTAAAAACACAAACACATCCCCGAGATACTCATATACCTGTAAGATACCTGAGCATACGCAGCTCACATTCTAATTTATAAGGCGGACGCCCGCGCAGGCTACGCATTTCTTTGGAGCTCTTTCCATGGATCTGCATTTCTGCACGAAAGCCAAAGGCTGGACAGGATTGCAAACGGCAGACTGCAGGCTGCTGCAGACTGCGACTGATGGATCACCGTAGATAAGCGAATCTTGCAGATAATCGCATCACTCACTGGGAGTCGTCTCTCCTTTGGAGCCAGCGCTCCTCCTCTGGCAGGTTGCAGGCTGTTTTTCGGTCTGCAGTTCCAACGGCCCCGGAGACATGCAATAATTTTCAAACAGCAGACTCCGAGTAACTCCACCGAGATGATGATGCATGACAGTGACAGTGCGTTGTTGTTGTTGCTGTTGATGTTGCTGCTGCTGCATCGGGCTGCTGTTGTTGCATGACATTAAGCATGTTGCAAACAGACGCTGCCTCGCCAAACTGACAATGAGTCCTGCTGCAGCGAATTGTGGGTGCCTCGGAAATTAGCCAGAATGGTAGGGTGAGGGGGGAAATGGGGGAAGTCAAGAAATACACTGAAGAAAATTGACTTACGAGCTCAGGAATGGTGGAGAAAATGAATGTAGAAACTCTCTGGAATCTTAAACCAAGTTGAACTCCCTTTTCTCACTCTGCAACTCGAAACTTATTTTCATGCTTCATCTGCAACAGCAGCAGCGGCAAGGCGGAGAGAGGCAAGGCAAGTTAAAAGCAAAAAAGGAATCTTTACAAGCGCAACGAAAGCTGAAATGAATTACAACTTCTACGGCATTCCCGGGCTTTGTTTAGAGCGAAAAAAAAATCAATTAAAATTCATAGCTTTTATGCACTTCTTCCCTTCGAATTCTGTTATTTATTTATATTTTTTTGTTGTTGTTGTTGGAGAGAGGGGGGAGTACCTTTAGCTTCTTCTTGTGCCCCCAAAATGAAGGGACAAGCAGCTGGCTTCGAAATGAAGCTGGCGCCAGTCGAGTGGAGCTGATAAAAATCACGCCGATGTAGCATCAACAAAACTGGCCAAGATTTTCTCTCAGCTTTACCTGTTTATTTTCCATTTCTGTGTGTGTGTGGGGCGGAGGGGGAGGGGGTTAATGTCTGTGTGGGGGAGGTGAGGGGTTTATGTCTAGCCACCGACGCAGTTGCAGGGGCAACGTCAACGGGGCCTCATCATTATCATCATTAAAATGTCAGTTAATAATTTCTACCTACCTCAAAAAAGAGAGAACCCCCCTCCTGCCCGCCGCTGAAGTGCTTTACAGCATTCGAAAGGGTTTTCTGATGTTTTTCTTGGCTACCTGGTGGAGATGCGGTGTCTGTGGGTGGCCACCTCCAACCCCTTGACCTTATTTGGGGCATTAAGACTGAGGTAAGAGCATGGGTAAGAGAGAGCCAGAGAGATAGTGGTATATCCTGTCGAGTTCGTTGCTTGAGTCTTTTGTTTTTGGCGGGGGGAAATGTGAAAAATGCTCAAATTGCAGTGTGCAATTTGGAGTGGCCCAAGCAGGTTGCTACTGCTGCTGCTGCTGCCAGTTGCAAGTTGCCTGTTGCACCTGCAGACAATTGCTAATAATTATTTATGCGGCCCAGGGGCAGCTCACTGGCTCTCCTAGAGCAGAGTGGCTGCCACTTTGGCATTGGCTACTGTGCCACTCCCCAGCCCCTTTTTTCTTGGCTCATCAGGCAGTTAATGACCAGTCGCCATACTCTACCCAATCCATAATTAACTTCGTATATATATATATATATATAGTATATAAGCTATATATGTAGCAAAACGCAGAGGTGCTTTTGGAGGGTGGGTGGAGTTACGCCTTCAGCCTCACGCCTCACGCTTCACGCCACTCTCTTCACTTGCCTTTCAGTTTTAATTTAATAATATTTTGTTACTTTATAGGCCGAAGCGACAAGCTTGTTTACAAGCACCAAACATGCAACAACTTTAATAGTTTGTTGGCCAAACGGCGAAGCCAACTGAAAGGCAAATGGGAAATCTGAAGGGAAAGAGATAGCTTAAGAGCTCTGAACTCGTGTAGCACATTGCCAGCACAATGCGGTCGTAAGTTGTGGCATTTTGCGCACTTCCTGTCGCCTGTCGACTAAAGTTCCCTCTGTATCCTTTTCAACTTCATGTATATGTGTAGCGAAGCCAGTTAGCTCCCCCACTTTTGTGCAAACTTTTTGCCACACGCACGCATTGCAGTTGTTTTGCATAACGCCTTCAAAATGCGCCAAGTTTTCTCTTTACATTTTCCTTGCCATTTTCCATTTCCATTTTGACTTCTCACATCCCCCACTACAACCCAACTTCCAGCCCAGAGTCAAACTCCCCCAAATAGACACATTTAACTTGTCCGCCTTGCATGCGATTAGTTTGGTAATTTGATTTGCTTTAGTATCTGTAACTATCTCTCTCACTCTCTTTTTCGAGTTAAGTTGTTAAACTTTGTCCTTGGCTTTCCGTTTTCGGCTTTGCGTGTCTGCTAATTGAAAGGATTTTCACAGGGAAATAGTTAAGCCCTTTCTTCCCTTTCCCCCATTTCCTGCTCTCGGGTTCTCTGGGCCTGGGAAACTAAACCTTAGACTGCAATTAGTCGACTG